TACAAGTAGTTTCGCACCACATTACAGGGGAATTAGAGTTGAGGCACCAGTATATTTACCCCATCTGCAATTTAGCGCGAGGTAACCTGTAGTACGTGGGAGGGGGGGTGGGAGAGAGGCAATATACAGGCGATTCTGACCAAAATTAAATATTTCCTACAATTCTGTGCGTCCACACACTCCATTTAGTCGTAATTTAGAAACCTTCCTATTCCGTCTCACAGTCAGTGCAGACCAATGTACATCTCTCCACTGTATTGAAAAATATTACCGATTGCGGCGCCATTGGACCGCAGTTCGTGGTCCAGTGATAGGACCTTTAGCTCACTGACGAGAGAAGTTCCGTTTAACCTTTAAGTCTCCGAAGCATGATGCCGAGCTCTGGCTATTCCAGTCACCCCTGTCTTCATCAGTACTAGTTGTAAATTAAACAGTCTTATTTTCTTATTCCTATTCCTGACGGGGGCACAGCACATAGGCGATTCCGATCAATGTTTCTGCGCATCTACAGAACCTGCTTAATTTGTCTGTAGTAATTAAAACAGTATTAAAAACGCTGGTAACATGAAAGCATGACCATGACTAATGGCTACCCCTGTTGCAGTATTGATTCCCAAAATATTAAAATGTAATTAAAGGCCTGCTAGAAGAGTAAACTTGTAGTGGTACAAGAGCGAACAGAATTTAACAGCACTTGGGGAGTGGGAGGAGGCGGAAGGGGTCAATTCATCCGCCCCTCGAGTCACACGCTCCCTCCCCCTTTTGAGTCTTAGGCCTCCTAAACGTGATATGAAGCTTTGGCTCTTCCAGTCACCTCTGGCTTCGTCAATACTATACAATACTGTCTTCGTATATACTATCTATAAATTAAGTCTTCTTAGATTCCTATTCCTGCCGAGGAGGCCTGCAGAGTCCGTTTAGTCGTACTGTTCTTATTTAAAAGGTGCTCAAACCAGTCCTACCACACAAGCAATTCCGACGAATGACCAGCCCCCCGTCACAAACTAGTAGGGCGTGATTGAAGGCCTGCTAGAACTCGAAAAGTGGTATACTTGTACTGGGAAAAGAGCGAACAGAAATCCACAGCACTGCAGGCATGGGGAGCGGGGGTCAATTTCTCTGCGCCCGAGTCACACAACCCTCCCTCCCTCCCCCACCACACCCTCAGCACAGAAATAAAACCATCAAGCGGGTGAATGACAGTTAGTCCCCCCCCCCAACATCCTGGCTTAGCGCTGGCACTCAATTACCCAAGCTACGGGAGAAGAGTTTCGGAATGGGGACCGTACCTGGCAGGATCAAAACTGCAAGAGTGTGTGGAATTACTCTCCTTCCGGCGTTGAAGTAAGGTGTGTCTGGACTTATACGCCTACGAAGGGGCACCTTGTCGACAACAAAAGGGCAAACCCGAGGAGAAGGAGGAGGAGGAGGAGGAAGAGGAGAAGAAATGTTTTGCGGTGAGTGTTGTTCAAACAGCAATCATGTTCGGCCCTCAGGGAATGTCACACACCAGCGCACGCATGGGGCGTGGGGGCAGGGAGCCGGTGACAATTCCAAAAGTGCCAAGCATGCCCTTGCTGAGGGTATGGAGGAACGCCTCCGAAAAACTCGATAAAAGCAAAGTGACTTACCTTTCAGCGAACATACAGAACCTAAACTAATTTTGCCTTTTTGAAAACACACACACACAGAGACTGAGCAGCACTCATTTCAAGCAACGCCATCTCCTGCTCGCTAGTGCTTTTATAGCGACTCGACGATTAGAAGCACGATGTGTGGGAGACAAATGATCTACTCCTCCCCTTTCACCTCCTGCTTCAACCTACTTCCGCGACCCTGGAACGCTCGAGGCAGACACCCTCCAAGGGAATCTTAGGTTATGATCCAAACAAAAACGCTGGAGCGAATTAGCACGTTTTGGTTAACTCGGGCCAATCTTGCGCGCGTACAACAGATGGTCGAAAACAACTCTGCTCCGAAAGTTGTTTTGACGGCGAATCGCCTGGAAGGCCAGTGCTAGCGATTTGTTGACACCTGCGGTCTTTCTCTGCTTTTTCTTGTTTACTGCCCTTCCATCCGTTTTAACATAAAAAGACGTCAGAATCCAAAGACTCTGTGTGTGCGCACTCTTTTCTGGTGTTTCTTAATCGATGTGAAAGTAGGATGACAGCTTACAGCGGTCAGTCGGTTCACAAAACAAATCCCAAAAGATGCGATCCGGACAGTCTTTTTCATCTATCCGGCTGCGATGTTTACATATCCTCGGGCATACATCGAGCTGTGAAAAATCTATACTGCTTCGTTTGGTCCCATGACGGAAACAAGGAAATTGAAAGCTGGCTTCTAACCTTATGGGCTATCTGTTATGCTTAGCTCTTAAGTAGCTAGATATTTTCGAAATTACTTTCTGGGCGATGGACTCTGGAGAAAAATGTCGCCAAAACCTTTGGTTACCTTTAAATGAAAGTGAAGCATCTGTCATATTTACAAGCTTTCTGTGGCAGGGCAAAATTCTCCTAATTTCAGTTTTGGTGTTAAGATGTCTT